AAAAATTTAGTTTGAATAATATTTCTAATTAAAAAAACTTTTTTACTCAAAATACTTTTGCATTACAATTCGATTGAGACAAGATATACTATAAAGTTCATAAAGCATAGCCTATATGTGTTGAAAGTTTTGCAAAAGAGCGCTATCCTTTACTATATCATAATACTGTATTAAATATTTAATTTCGTATTTACAAATTTGTTAAAAATGTTTATTTTTAACAAACAGCGATAAAAAAAAATACGTTCACTTCTTTACTAGGTAAAAGACAAAAATGCGCCACTTTTTTTAAAGACAATGGATACACATCACAGATTTCTACTAAAGCACTTGAACAATTTGGAACAACGTGACTTGTTCGCTCAGGCATTTCGGGCCCCTCAGCGGGGCATTAGGGCCCCTGCTTGAGGACCAAACAGAGGAATGATGACGACTACAGAGACTGACAAGTGGAAAATGGCTTAGATGCTAGTCGAGACCTCCGGAAGATTAAATACAAGTGTAAGAAAGAAAGAAAGAAAGAAAGAAAGAAAGAAAGAAAGAAAGAAATAAAGGGAAAATCTTCAGCTTTTCTAGGCAAATTCAGACGAATTAATTTGCGATGCTTTTTGCTCTAGCCTATAAAAAGATGTATGCACGCGTTCAAATTATAGGGTAGAAAACTTTTTAATCAAATAAAACGACATAATCTACGAACCATTTCTTCACGAATATTCATCATTTTCTTTGGTTCCAGGATTTATTGTCAGATATACTGAGATAAAACGAAATAAATAAATAATTTGTATTTTTTAAAAATATTTTATTACAGGATGCACATATTGAAATCGCTTGAGTAAGATTAAGACTATAACTTATATAAAATACAAGTTTATCACGAGTTTTTATTATATCTCCAAGGTATATGTCCACTGTAAAATGTGTAAATACGATGCTTTTTTATCACTTCAAACTCAGAATGTTTGGTTGCTTTGTAAATCTTGTTGTCTTGGGATCGTTAATTGAAGTTGGCAAATTTATCACAACAATTGCGCTCTTGTTTGGTGGACTAACCGGCTTCTGAAGAACTGTTAAATTTACATGGACTTAAAATGGAAAATAGAAACGTTTTGAAATCAGATCAACCGTTTGACAAAAACACGAGTTAACTAGAGCGAGTGAACTTTGGTGTATCTCTGCTCTCTGAGAGTCAGACACAGTCAGATCATTGCTGCCCCCATCAGCTCACACTTTAAACAACAGCACGAACACAAGCACAGCGAGATCAAAACCTGAAAAAAGAACAATAAAGACACAGTTCATCATTGCAATACTCCAGTTGTCACTTACACATAAATAATTCTGTGTTCAGTGAAGATAACTGCTCTTGACGTGCATCACTGTAGTAAAGATAACAGTATTTCTCAATGGCCATATTTATATCAGGAGGAAACATTTGCTCGCCATGTGCAGCGTTGTAAAGCATTCAAGGTTAATTATCTGAAGTGTTGATCAGACCATTTTCAATGACTAATATTTGTAGTTGTCAGAGAAAACATAATTCTGAACTGTCATGCGTCTAGCAACACATAAACTTCTGCCAAGAATTTGGAACTGGCGCAAACACATTTCTGACACATTCAGACAGGCCTATCTCCTAAACACTTGTGTTCCAGACAGATAGTGTGGGCTTTTCACAACCAAATCCTACACAAGACACCATAAAAACAGAAACAAAGATATGGCCACATGTAAGGGGCGGGGCCGCAGTAAAAATGAGTAAACCCACCACGTTTTAGGATTTGAAAAGTCAAATAAAAATCACGATGCAGACTTGCATGCTTTCAAAACATGTCTATTGCATTTAGAATCAAATTATGTTTTTTTTTTTGTTTTGTTTAAAAAAAGACTAAAAGAGCATGATGTAAGACTACAGCATAATGCATATTATTATGCATGCAGTAAGTTGCAAACACAGCAACATGATGGTGCTGTGGCTCCTTGATGTAGTCAAATCCAATACTAAACACAATGTTGGAGTGCAGTCAAAGAAACAAAGGAATCTGAGAGGCACCTCATCATTCTCATCACAGCATCTGATCGTTATGTCATTGCATCTCATGTATTTATCATTGAGTTTCATTCAAACCAGAACTTCACTGCTACACTATATCAGTGTAGCATTATGGAAAATGTAATTTGCATGTGTAGTTTTAAGCTTTTGATATGGATGCACTATAGAAAACCTCACTTTGGCATCGATAACAGCAAATCTATTTTGTATTTTTTGATTCAGCATTGAGCTGCAATGAGAACGACGGTGATCCGATGGACAGAGACTCGCAGTACAGCTCCAGCCAGAAGACCAAGCGCATGAGAACGTCATTTAAACACCATCAGCTGAGGACCATGAAGTCGTATTTTGCCATCAACCACAATCCTGACGCCAAGGACCTGAAACAGCTGGCCCAGAAAACAGGTCTCACCAAGCGCGTCCTACAGGTCAGAAAACTCCCTCCAGTTGGCCTAATTGTTTTGGCTCAATGTTATTTCAGCTTTGAGATGTTAGCATACTGACCATGTAAGCCTTTAGTTGTTATATTAGCACATGTTTGAATAGCACTTTTTACAATACACACTGTTTCAAAGCAGATTTGCAGAAAATCATGATGTTAATGTTTATAATATCTTAATATCTTCATGCACTAGTTGCATTTAACAGATTAGAGCTGCGTGATAATATAGTTACATTTTGCAACAATACAAGCAATCAAGCAGTTGAGATTTACTAGTGTACACTGTTAAAGTAGGAGACACTCATATATTCTACTTTATATAAAGAGTTGGGTGATAATATTGTTAAATTTTGTGACGATTTGCTATATATACGTATATCGTTTTACAGTGAGTGTACTGTATGTATGCAAACAAAGTTGCACTTAATATACTATAACTCAATATATGTATCAAAAACAGCACATTCCTTCACATCAGCAGCAAATTAGACTGATTAAAAAATTACTTGAAGAATGAATCAAATGTAATTCACAAGCCTGGTCTCCTCAATGGAATGCTATTAATTTGTTCCTGAAAGTTAGAAATCTGAATCAATTACATGCACAAATAAAACACTAAGAAATAAGAGAAACAGCTGTTTGTCAGAAATCACTGGAACCAGAAAAACGAAACACAGGTGCTTTGGCAAAACAACCAGGGGACAAATGGAGAGTAAAAATATGAAATACTCAAGTAAAAATAAAATCTCAAAGCGCTAATTATCATCGGCTGTCATTCGGCTTTGATGAGACTAATTTTCGTTCCCTGAGCATCGCATGGTTTTCTGGTCTGTGGGATTATTTTTAACGTCTGCCGTCTCGGTTCGCAGGTCTGGTTTCAAAACGCTCGGGCCAAGTTCAGACGAAACCTCCTGCGCCAGGAGAACACGGGTGTGGACAAGACCTTGGACGGGTCGACCCTGCCTGGAGGAACGCCGTCCGGACCGGCCTCGGAGATTTCCAACGCTTCCATGAGCCCATCCAGCACTCCTACGACCCTCACAGACCTGACCAACCCCACAATGCCCACAGTCACCTCCGTACTGACCTCCGTCCCGGGCAACCTGGACATTCACGAATGCCGTAGTCCATCGCAGAGCACCTTAACCAGCCTCTTCTGATGCTCAGATTCGAGCACATGGACGAGTCACCTTCATCTGCTTCCTCCGAAGACCATTCGTGGAGCCACCTAAATCAGAAATAAAGCGTGAGCATCATTGATCATGCTAGTCATTCACAAATTACATCTATCTGATACATAAACCGATCTACCTGGGCATTTTTGTACAGGCCAGGAACTTTACAAATGTGGCCAATCCAATTCAAAAGACTATAAAGAACGAGACGTGAAAGAGAAACTCTTTGTTTAAAGTATTGCATTTTGGGCAGACTCAAGTTTCACTGAAGGATCTGTTGATAAGAGACTGATTTGCATTTTATTTATTTTTCATGTTTTCCCCCAACCATGTTTACAGAGAGAGACTGAGCTGGGAAATGCATTTGTTCGTCAACCTCTTATTTATGATCACGCACAGGAGTCAGTGTGAGGAAACTGGATTATAATGTGAATAATTACAGCGTAATCTAGCCTGACTGTCACGTGCCTTATCCTGCAGTGTAGTCACTGAAGCCCCTTTAGCAACGCTAAACGAACTACATCAGAAAATGTGTACTTTCATTTGTCGGATGATGAAAATGGTTGAGTAAATCACACGTGCACAAACACACACACACACACACACACACACACGAGGAAGAGCTAATCATATACTCGCAATCAAACATATTACCTCACTCAGTAATCACTGGATATGATAGCAGTACATATGAAACCTGAGAATACGTTTCAATCTCATGCACTGGGAGAGAAAGCGGCCGTGGAGAGTTTGTACAAAGACAAACCTTGATGGAGCTCACCACAAACAAACACTGATTTATGGAATGAAACACTTTTTTCTTCCTCATTCGGTTAGGTGATTTATTTTTCTCAACCATTAAGATGTGACAGTGTTGGAGACAGGGTAAATGTTTCCATGGTAACCAGAGGCTGCTTGTTGAAATGCTGTACAGTTTTGACAGATTACTGAGAAATTTCGAGTCCACTCCCTGCAGTATCCCCTTTGATGTAAATCTTCAGTTCTGTAAAAAATATATAAAAAAATCAATCACTATTTTTTGTGGTCCTCATTATTTCACCAGTTTCAACGCATTTTACATAACAGCAATGCCAAACAGCGTTAACACAAATCTAGAGCTTAAGGACAAAAACACAATCTAACTGGACATTAATACATTAAGATGATGTTAGTTGTCATGGTAATTTATAACTGAGATTCCCAAAACCAAATGCAGTTTGGTGTGATTTGTTAATACACATCTTGTCACACACACACTACATGGTTGCATTTCAATTAACAAAAATAAATAAACAAATAAATAAATAAAACCTATATATATATATATATAAAAAATAATAGTGTATACTAATAAAATATAATATAATATATATACATATATATCACAAACAAATATATAATTTGAACAATTTCTTCAATATATAAGTGATATCCAAGTGACTGAATTACACATAACCAAAAATCAATCACATGTATTTTAATAGATTATAATGTATTTCTGTTTTGCAAAAACATGTTCAAATGTGAAATACCACTGTCTTTTATACTGTATTTTGCAGTGTTTGATGAAATACTTTCTAATTGTTTCAAAATAAAATAAAAATAAAAACCCAGTCAGATTAAATTAATTCACAAAATATTATTTCTTTCTAAGGCCAGGTTTTGGCAGCTTTATGATCAGAGAGAAACCATGCTAAGTTCCTCTGGGTCCTGTAATCAGAACCATATTTGGCTTTATCACAGGAAAAAACTGGGATAATATGAAAATAGCTTTGATTAATAGGAGAGCAACCTAAATAGTCTTCTATACATAAAACTGAGAAAATAAATAAAAATTACACATTTAATTAATTTCTGCATATTAAATGACAAGAAATGCACAAAAATGCTAATGCATTAATATGCTCTGTTCTTGGGTTGTTGGTTTTGTTTTGTTGGTGTCCTACACCGTGTGTGTGTGTGTGTGTGTGTGTTATTTCTGAGCTGAAAACCTCCAGTGACTAGTAGAGTAGAAAACCTGCACTGGAATTTATTATGATAATTATTTTTAAATGGTTGAACGGTGGAGCATTTGGAATGTGAGTTTATTACGGCCCATGTGAAATATTTGGTCACCCAGTCATCGTACCTGCATGTTTGGCCCTCACAGACATCCGCTGAATGGAAGCAGAAACTCCAGTTTTCACGCACATCAACACGTCCGTCTCGACACGCGATGTTTCCCAGTGTGAACTAGGCCTTGGACCTTGGTCTCAATGAACATTAGGTCAGTGACTCTTGGCGTCTCGGGTTTCTCTCGCCGCTGTTTGTTGAAGTGAGTGGTGTGGAGTGGTCTGGCATGCAGCCCGCCGCTCGGGCTCCTGGAGGCCTGGCAGTCTGGGGTTGTAATGGGCTTACGATGGGTGCCAAAGCCAGCCAGCCACTGTGGAAGCCAATGTGGTGCCCAGATGTCCAGCACATTCCCACAAAAAGCCACACAATGAAGACTTTAATGGAGAGAGAGCCTTCTATTTAAAACACACTACAGCCTTTTTGGAAATATTTGGTCCAATAAAGTTTAATATGGAATATTATTACCTCATTTCTGACTGTGCAGAATCCGAGGCTCATCACATCGGTTCGAATGTTTGTGACGTGCGCTATGCAACAAAGACTTTCAGAACATGCAAAGTGTCTGTGGTTTTTTAAAGATCTTTTCCTAGGGCTGTTTTCTTTGTCAGTCTGGGGTGCGTTCCCCGAAAGCAACTATGGTCACAACTTCGGTCATTACCAATAGAGTTTAATGGAACTTGTGACCATAGTTAGCTAAAGATGCTTTTGGGAAATGCACCCCTGATCGGGTCAATTTAAATGTTCGACTGGCATGCAATAAAAATTGCTTTCTAAATTAGAGATTAGAGGTTGATCTTCGGATAAAAGTGTCCGCTAAATGCATAAATGTAAATATGCAGCACAAGAGTGCACTAGGCCAATCTCTGCTTGTGCTTACTTGGGAAATCTTGCAAAAAATTAGCAGAAATAAATGTATAACTTATAATTGTGAAGTTGGTTGATAAACATTTATTAAATCAAATCTAAAAATGCCATCACAAAAAATACCATGGTGCAATTATAGAAGCAGGTTTCATGGTACTTTAATATATACCATCATACTAAATGATTACCAATTTTATACCATGGTATTTACATGATACTTCAACACTGCAAAAATAATTTTCTTGTTTTCCAGTACAAATACTAAAACTTTCTTAAGTCAAGATACATTTACTTAAGAAGCAAAATGACTTAAGATATTAAGTCTTGTTTATTGAAATATTGATCAAAATTATACTTGAAACAAGAAAGAAAAAATATGTCAGTAGGATAAGAACATTTCCTTTGAATTAAGCAAAAACTCACCTAATTTTTTAGGGTAGGTGATTTGGTTCAAAAACATTTTTTGTTATTCTGGTTGAAAGTCTCTTCACATTCCAATAGCAATCACTAAGTTGAGTGGTACAAATGTATTTATATTGTATGTGGAAGGCGTTGTCACAGTTATCTACTGTGTAGGAGCAAGGAACGCGGAGACGAAGGAGAGTCACGAATAACAGTCTTTAATAATCCAAACAGGGGTAACACAGGGCAGGCAGGAACACACATGTAGCACATCAGGAGACAAACAATACCGGACAAGGAAACATGGAGCAGACAACACTAAAACACAGGGCTTAACGAAGGGTAATTACAAGACACAGGTGAATCAAATGACTAATCAACGAGAGGAGAAAAGCCATGAAGGCGACCCATGGTGGAGCCGACGGAGGGAGGAGCCATGGTGGAAGTAGGGCTGACAACTCCAGGGGGCCGACCGATGGCAGTGGAGCAGGTGGAGGAGCCCGAGGCAGAGATGGAGAGCCGATGAGCCAGGGCGACGGGGAGGATCCGGAGGGCCAAGGCGGAGCAGATGGCTCAGGCAACCGAGGCGGGGATCCGAAAGGCCGCGTTGGAGCCGGAGCGACAGAGGACCAAGGTGGAGCCGAAGGGAAGGAGGAGCCCGATAGAGCTGGAGGGACGGAGGGATGAGGCACAGCCGGAGGAGTGTAGTCCCGAGGTGACGGATGGTCGACGACAGACCAAGGCGGAGCCAGAGGGACGAGGGAGCCTGGGGGAGCCAGTGGACTGCCGGGCCACGGTGGAGAGGAGGGAGCTAGAAGCCATGGTGGAGCCGCTGGGTCGACAGGCCGAGGCGGAGTCCGGGACTCAGAGGCTGGAGGCGGAGGCAAGGGATCCTCCAGCCACGGCGACGATGGCAGACCCGCGGTGCTCACACCGAACAGATGGTGGGCTGAGGGTGAGCAGAGGGGCTGCCAGACGACAGCGGTGGTGGAGGCAGGAGCGGGAGGGTGGGTGGTCATTTCTGAGACTCCGGACTCTCAGGGCTGGTGTTTGCTGCCCACACACACCAAATCGCGACTCCCAGCACTGGGAGCGCATCAGACAGGGGAATGACAGGGCTGGCAGACAGTTCAGGGCCAACTGGTAAGTCCGAGGAAGGTGGGAGGAGAATGGGCATGTCCGCATATATATCTCCCTCCCAGTCTATTAGGTCCCCTTCTAAGTCCAGCAGTCCCAGAATAAGCTCACCCTCAGCCATGGTGCAGTGGGCGGAGCTCCTCTTCGCGCTCTCGCTTTCCACGGCTCTTTCCCTCATGGCGGCCGTTGTAGCCGGCTCTCACACCTGGTCTGACGTCACTAGCAGCTCCGGGGCGATCCTCAGCTCTGTCGCTCCATGAGGCGATGGCTCGTCGGTGGGCTCGGGCTTGCGCTCCGCGCAGCGGGGTGATGGGGGGCTCTGCTCTGGATCTGGCTGTGCTCTGGATCGGGGCCGGACGCTCTCCAGACACTGGATGATAGCTTCCCTCCAGCACAGTCCAGTGGTGTCTGGGAGGTTGACGGGGCGATGGTAATTAGCCCCGATCCAGAACAGTGAGTTCAGCGCAGCATCTTTGAACACCATTAAAACAGCGAGATGGCTGAACTCAACCGCATACTCCACGAAGGGCAGGTCCTTACGGGCTAGGGAGGTGAACAAAGCGGCGAGGGGATCCATGGGGAAAAACATGGGAAACAAAAAAACACTGTATGGTCCGGTATTCTGTCACGCTGCTGCATTGGGGAAGCGAGGAACGTGGAGACGAAGGAGAGTCACGAATAACAGTCTTTAATAATCCAAACAGGGGTAACACAGGGCAGGCAGGAACACACACGTAGCACATCAGGAGACGAACAATACCGGACAAGGAAACATGGAGCAGACAACACTAAAATACAGGGCTTAAAGAGGGGTAATTACAAGACACAGGTGAATCAAATGACTAATCAACGAGAGGAGAAAAACTGGGTCACGTGGAGCACATGGGAGAAAACACAACAAAACAGGTCCATTTTCCTGACAGGCATAGGACCATAAAATGTTTGTCCAATTATATCCCTCGGCCCAAGGGCTACTGTCCTGCCTGCCTGTCAACTTATGTATTTGCATACCTCCAGGCACCCTGTTCGCACAGACATTATACACCATCAGAGCGTTACATTACGCTACCGCAGACCGAGCGAGAATGGAAGGCATTAAAATTTTAATATTATGCGCTTTGTACTGTAATGTTTTCTCACCGGTGAGGTAATCTGACAGCGTTGCATTCAACCAATGCCGTCTCTCATCGTGTCGCTGGTTAGCCTCTGCTCTGCCTGTGTGCGTTCTTGTGTTTTGGAGGAGGCATGGTTTTGGAGAGTGATTTGCAGGGAGGGTCATATATATTTTTTTTTACTTTTTTATTTTTTATTTTTTTTATGGAAAACAAGACAAAAATACTGAATAAGAAAATCATTTTTGCAGTTGGTATTGCAATGAAGTGTCCAAAAAAAATACATGGTAATAACATGCTATTTTTTTTTCTTTTTATTTTGGTTTCACTGGCATGCAACTCTTAATAC